AGCCGGCCTCGCCCGCCACCACAGTCATGCAAATGACTCGCCGCCGGTGCCGCGCCACTCGGACGAGAGCGCCTTCGGAGAGGGGCCTCCACTCCGAAGGGAGAGGACGGGCTTTCTGGGCCCACTGGATGCCCGCGTCACACTCTCCGGACGTGTCGGACGCGTTCGTGCTTTGCTTGTGCAGTGCAGACACGTTTGCCGCGCCCTCGTCAGAAGCCAGCTTATATCGTCGAGCAACGCTGTACCATCATTTGTTTTTTCTTGGTTTCCTTACGTTGAGACAGACAGGTATAGTGATAAAGGGGAGTTAAATTCAAAATATTTTTTCTGGTCCATCACGTAAGTCGCGAAGAAGCGCGTAGTCTCGAATCTTGCACTTCGCGGAATTCTCCTTGTCGCCTTCGTGGGCGTTCTTTGTTGAAATGTGAGTTTCGAGGACTCTCGGTGATGGTTCTTTGACTCGGGAATAAATGGCGCTTTGGATGCACCTCTGACCGACACGAGGCGTCATGACAAAGGGACTTTTGACGCTTGTTACCACCTCCGTGTTAGGGTTCGCCTTCAGTGCACTAAGGGCGTCGCATCAAATCGTTATTTCTTGCCATTCTTTCAATCCAAACTCCGTGTTGCACCGTAAACTTGGTGAAACATTCCGCACTCGCGATGCTCGAGCGAAATGGTCTTGTACTCAGCTAGATTCATGGACCGATCACAGGTATGACTTAATTGTGAAATAATTATTAGGATCGCCACGAATAAACTTCACTCGGTTTTAGCGGGTTTAAAAAAAGTGCTACGCTACAAGGTCTAAATTCTCGTCTTTACTAGTTTTATTTATTTATATTAAATTTACGCTCGCAGCTCTTTAAAAAAAAAATCCGTTTAGCGTTTTTTTTTGTTTTTTTTTTCAGGCACATCACTCATGTTTACGTACGTTGAGCCTATTTTTAATTTTGGCACGGTTCGTTGTTTTCTTGCTTTCGCGGTGCTTGGAGTGCTGTTTTGTATACAGTCGGATGCGTACTATGAAGAAAAAGAGTGCCCAGTCCTTTCTTTAACCTTGGACCTCCGAGTTCCTGTCCTCGCCGTGGTAAACTTATCAGGAGGGCGTGGCGTGCCCACCAAAGTGTTCGTCGCGCTGTTATGCACTGCGAGGGACTGCACATCGCAGATCCTGGCTCCATCGTACTAATGATTTGTCATTCCTTCAGCGCCGTGTTCCCGATTTCCGTTCAGCATCGTGCAAAAACAGCGGGAAGTAGTAGCCTGCCGTTCATATTGAAAGCTGGGAATGAATCACGTCTGGCGCGGAAACAAAGCAAAAAGGGGGCAGTGATCTGCACACTACGTGCGCCGACAAAGGCTCGCACGGGCGCCTCGTGGTTCTCCCTTTCGACCGCAGTTGAAGCACGGATCCGTGGGGGATGCGCTTAGTACATAAAAGGTTCCGTTTGGGGCGCTTCGCAGCTCCGATGCGCCTGTCGAGGGTGCGACCTTATGCGGTTGTTCACTTTGGTGCGCAAGTGCAGCAGGGGAAACCCCGAGTTCTTATTTCCTTCCCACCGTTCGGCATCTAGGCGGACGCGCACTGCGGGCGAAGAGTCTGCGCGACCAAGCGCCGCGAGCGAAGTCCTCGGCTTGCCTGGGCGGCGGAGGTTCGCTTTCCGGGGGCTCAGCTGCGTGCCTCGAAGCTGTCTCTTTTTGGAAGGCGGCTGCTCCCCCGAGACGAATGGGCTCGCGCGCAGCGTTCCCCGGGCGCTCTGCTCACGCTGCCGGGGTAATTAAAAAGTTTGTCCGTTAATCGCTTTCGGGATTCTTAAGGCGTCGCGAACAAGTTCGTCGCTCGTGTACGGCGCCGGGCGCGTCGAGCCTGCCTCCTCCGAGAAATGTTGGGAGGAAGAAGGGGGGCGACGACGGCATCTCTGTGGGCGACGCTCCCGCGCTTCCCCCGATGAAAGCCGCGTCCCTTTATGTTGCCGCCTTTGCTTGCTCTTGCGCCGCTCTCCAAAGTGCTCGTGGTCGCGTCTGGCTTCGCGCGCGCCAAGCTGCCTTCTCGGAGGAGAGTGGCGCCGGCCTTCCTTCGCCTCGGTCTCCGAACATTCGCGGCCGGCCCGGATCAGTGTGCAGCCGCACACTGGTTGGAAACGCTCGGTCCCGCTCTGAACATGTCCGGAACGATGCTGAGAGCGATGTCTCGGAGTTCATTTACGTTTGTTACGAACAGTTCCCTATGCGGTGTCGAGCTTCGTTTGCTTTTATTTTTGCGTCTTCCTCGTTGCTTTTGGAAGTTTTGTGGCCCAGAAGATAAAACGCGTCGTAGAGGGTTTTCATATTGCTGAAATCTATACATCTAAAATAACAACGTTTGTATTTGCGCCAGTTGGTTTGACATTGAGATATACTGACAGTGAACACGAAAACACGTAAATATTGAGGCTGTACGGTATACAGAAGAGGACACGACGTACATGTGAAAACGCTGACAACTGTTTATTTTTCATTTATTTTTCTTCCTCCTTTATACACTTGTTTTTAAAGATGAAGATCGTCCCATAATTTTCGGCGTTTAAATGTCATCGCGGGCAATAGACCTATTGCTAAATGACCCAAGTACCAAGGAGAATGCAGGGATTGGTGTTCCACGCGCCGCACGTGCTAACGTTTCTAAAGCAAATGCCTAAAACAAATTGCTTCCTCCACGTGCGTTCGTCGACGCTCTATTTTGATTATTTACTTCGATTCTTTTATACTGGGAAGGCCTGCGTGTGTGGCGCCTCGAACACCAATCCCTGCATTCTCGTTGATGATTGGGTCATTTAGCAATAGGTCTATGTAGGCGCAAGTGTTTTAGGAAACAGAGATACGCTGGAGTTTGTGATGAGGAATATATACCTGAGTAATCATAAAGTGGGTATGCCAAATTTTAAAACTTCGGTGTTTCAATATTCTTTTATTCCCCAAACATCACTGGATTGGAACCACCTTCCCACCTCAATAGCTAACATTACTGATATTGTTTAAGAGGGTTCTAACATGTGCACATTGTAATTATTATTTGATGTCCACTCCCCTCTTTATTACCTTGAGGGTATTTGAAATAAATAGATAAATAAATAAATAAATCGTCGAAAGAACTGGGACGATTAATGTATTTTCTGTCATTCGTAGACATTTTATATCGATTGTGTCTATGCTGTTGGTATCCTGGAGCTGTTGCTTGCCCTGTTGTGCTGCGAAATCTTTTCGAGGAGTTCTATTTTTTTTTTTTTTTCTTTCAAAGCTATTGAGGGTTCATTGGCGCACGTGTCATGCCTTCCGGAAGCCATGTGAAAAGCTTCCATAATCTCACTCTCGGTCCTGTCTCGTGATCTATCTAAGATGGTTGTGGTCCCAAGGAGAGCTTCGCAGCTGCATCTTGCACAGTGTGCTGCGAGGTTACCAGGTGCTTGCAGCTGCCGACACGCGTGTTTGTGCTCTCTTAGTCTCTCGTTCAAACATCTCCCCGTTTGTCGGACGTATGATTTTCCACACGTCAGAGGTATCTTGTATACTCCTTCTGTACATTCAAGGAACTTGCAACTGAGTGTCACCCTAAACGGTGGTTAAGCTTTTGGGTTGTTTACCGGTTCATTCACCTTCTTGCATAATCCCTTTAGCTTGAAAGGGGTGGATAAGGCCACTCTGGCTTCATGTTTTTCTGCCATATTTTTCATTCTATACGAAAAATTGTGGATGTATGGCAGCGCAACAACTGATTTTTTTTTTTGTCTACATTTTTCTTTTTGGTTTTACCTTTGCCTTTGAGTGTGTTCGTGCATTTTTCTGCTATAGCCACCACTAAGGGTTGTGGGTAACCACTTGCTCGTAGTCGGCTTATCTGTATTTGTAGGCCATCTGACAATTGCCAATAGACTGATCTCCCCAGCCAGTTTGGCTACGCCACCGCTGCTGCAATGCATCGCAAAAACTTTAGTCCAAGAAAAAAAAAATAGTTTTTTTTTTACATGTGTGACAATCAGGCTAGAGCTCTGCGTATTGAGAGCATGAGACGGCACGAACCGGTCTCGGGCGTTAAAAGAAGCAATTGGGTTGTGTGTGTATGTTTATATAGCCTAGAACTTGGTCCGTGTCAACGGGCGACGAGTCTCTCAGCTCTAGATGATACATTTAGCCAGTGCGGTACAACCGCTAGCCTGGGGTCTTTAACGTGCTTCCCGCAGTAGTGATACATGACCGCACGCCGGTACGATGCTCATCCAGATCGAGACGGGCAGGGGTCGGGATCGAACCCAGGATAGCTGGGTTCGATCCTCATGGATGCGGCCTCGCGCATGCGCCGGACGCTTGGCGAGATGGATCTGTTGAGCCTGCTCTGAACTAAGGAGTAAGATGGCGGAGCCCACTAGCAGATCGGGGAACGGAGTGCCGATACTCTAAGCATATCTTATTCACATGCTCTGGAGCCACCCTACTTGTAGCTGACTAGGAGTTGTATGTCGAGGTTTCGGCTCGGTGCGTTCAGACCGTTCGGGGCAACATATAAACTTTTCTGGCGAAGCTATGGAGGAGATGGTCATATTTTGGGCGATCCCAGAAACCTCCTCAGGGCACCCCTAAGTATTACCGTTTCTTCGGCAATAGGTTTCAGTGAGGTACACAGGGCCTATCAGTGGCAAGATGTTTCTGTGGTGCCCTCCTGTGGGTCCCTCTCGTGACGTCATTACCTTGCGAACAACATGTTAGATGCTGTTTGTAATGAGCATGGCGGAAGCTTGGAAACATTGCTCTGTGAAACAAACGCTCCTATTTACGTCGATGAGAGATCCGTTGCTGATGTCATAGCCAGCATTGGTCAAATCCTGCACGGCCGAGAGCAGAGCGGCGCTTTCGATCGCGGTCGTCGCCACTAGAGGCGCAAGTTGCGCGTAATCTCGAAAGGTGAATGTGGCTACGTGCCATTGCAAGGGTGTGAGCTTTTTCTGTTGTCTCTGTGTTCGCAGTGCTGAGCTTACGGAACACGCAAGAAGAGGAGCCCCCGGACCCTCAGCTGATGCGGCTGGACAACATGCTGATCGCCGAGGGCGTGGCGGGTCCCGAGAAGGGCGGCGGCGCCGGGGCAGCGGCCAACGCGTCTGCGGCGGCCTCCGGGGGCCAGCCCGAGAACGCCATCGAGCACTCCGACTACCGGGCCAAGCTCGCGCAGATCAGGCAGATCTACCACCAGGAGCTGGAGAAGTACGAGCAGGTGCGTGTCGCCCCTTTCCCCCTCCCGCCTCTGCCAGACCTCTCCAGTCGGAGGAGAGACTCGCGTCTTGGAAGAGAAATACTAACAAACTTGGGGGAAAATTTGGTTCATTACGAATTCAACAACTTTTTTTTTTTTTTTTAGAAAGGTGTTATTATGCAAGGTACAAATACAACCAGGGTCGTTGATCACCTTCCAATTATATTTACAAATCAACTTTGTTCTCATAGACTGATATCTTAGGCCCAGTAAAAAATGACCGTGTCGAAATGAAGAGTGTACTGATAAATACCAGCAGTCGCCTTTCGCCCAGCTGTCGCTCTCCCTCTTTCTCTCTCTCTCTCTCTCTCTCTCTCTCTCTATATATATATATATATATATATATTCGTAGGTAGCGTTAGCCGGGTCCAATATAAAAAAAAAAGAATTCTTCGTGAGATTAATTTCAAAGGCTCAGTTTATGCCTTAGTATCTTCAAATAACGGTCTCGTGTTTAAAAAAAGAAAATACAAATTCCACAAACAGTACAATCATTGTATTCATCCCATTTATTTTTAGTGCAACCGTACCTTTCTTTTTTCTGTGTTTATTATGCGCAAAGCGCAGTAGGTTTATGCTCTTTGCATATGACTCCCATCGCAAACAGTGCCCACAATTGTATTTGGGGCAGTATCTAAATACGTGCTTGCTCTTGCGCCAAAAAACCCCAATCATAATCATCTAAATACGTGTTTTTGAAATACTCAATTTTCTGTATTTGAATACAGGTGACAAACACATTTCTAATGCGTAAGTAAATAAAAAAAAAATATCGATGTGTTTTAATACGTACTTCAAATACTGCCGATCCCTCATTCATCCAGATGACTCCGTTATTGAGCGATCTTTCACGGTATTTTATTCTGGTGAGGATGTGATACGCAAGGGGAGTCTTGGGAAAGCAATTTGTTGTTTTAAAACGTTTTCTAAATTTTATCTAAGGGGCGATGTTCATTACGTACGAACGTAGAGAGCTTTGCCCAACCAAATGCTAATTTAATGTAACATCAGCGAGCGTTCATGCCCCTGGACCACGGCAAAGCCTTTGGAGTGCAGTGGACGGTGCCTAGGCAAAAGCAGCGTTGCACAGGCGATTTGTGATTCGATTTAACTAAAATTTCAGCGAAAATGGGTGGCCCGAATTTGGAAATTCCTTAAGCTTGGTCATGCCCACAGAGCGCAAACTACCAGCGCACTGATACTGACGTCACGGGACCTGAAGTAGCATGACGCGTTAACGTCACGTATTTTCCCCCACTATATTTAGCGCGTAAATTGACATCATGCGACTTGAGGTCACATTTCGTGGTCAGGTGTTGTCGATTTCCCCGCTAAATTTGGCGGAGAAGTCGACGTCATGGCTCCATAATTTCGAAATTGAGCTGACTTCTTCGTGACTGTTTCCTCGTACAATTCGGTTCATAAACGACTTTCTGAGTTGAAAAAAAAAAAAAAGAGCGAGATATGTTTACTAAGAATCCATCCTTCTTCCGTATGGACAAAACGTTCGTTCACGCCCGTGAACGTTACCTTGGGCTATAAATATAGCGCATTTCCGTAGATCGCCTACGACGTCCCGCAACGCTCTCCGTAATCTGCTACTACATCCCGAACTCTGTAGACTGGGCTAGCGGCACGCATGCGCAGTAGCGGTGCCTTTGTGTTGTGGGATTGTTGAAACTTTTGAGTATTCCCGAAGTAAAAGGTTCGCAAGTTTTGCGTAAGTTACGACGAAATCCGTAGCTGACGCATTCCTTACGAACATTTTTCTTCGGGAATACTCAAAAATGGGTAACTTTGTCGTAAGATAAATTTACGATCTTTTTTTGTCGTAGCAAAGTTTCGGGAATCTGGCCTCTGATATTCGATCCTTTGGGAAGAGGAGGGCAGAAGAGCTTGAGAGGGAATGGAGAGAAGGAAGCTTTCCGGCAGAAGACGATTCTGTAGGTCCGCCTTGAGGACTCGGAGGTGGCCAAGCAACAACTAGCGATTTTGGCACTCACGTGGGCCATATGCTGCCGTATGTTCCCCGGTACAGCCGCCGGCTTCGACTGAGGTGCCTCCCCCGGTCGGCCTGTTGCATCGCGCGTTGTCCCGTCGCCGCTAGTTCGGCTGCTGCAAGAATAGCGCTCCCACGAGATAAGACTAAGTTCCCTCGTTCCGTATGGGTTTGGTGCCCAGTGCGCATTCCGCGTCTAGTTTCAGCTACCTTTACGGGTCACTGCTACAGGTCGGTTCGTGTGTGAGTACGTCTATTGTCGGCCGATAGATGTGACGTCGTCAACGTGGGGTGACGCTCGGTCGAAGCTTACTGCATGCGACCGCCTCGCTCCTGTTTAACGGCGGATGTTAGCACCGTGCGTCGAAAACATGCAAGGCACGTAACCATACGCGAAGCGTCTGGAGTAAATTCCGAAGCGAAGCTTTGGGTCGTGTCTCGGGGCTGAATAAGGGATGTGGGCGCTGTACGCGGAGTGATCTCGGCCGACGACTACGAGGCCCCCGGTCGTCTTGACGTCGTGATGGGCGCCCTGCGCGTGCGAGACAAATGTCCCGTCCCCCGGCGGCAGAGCGCGGCGGGATGGAACGGATGCGATCGCGCACGCCACATTGAGCCCGGCTGCCGCCAAAGGGGAAACGCGTGCCGACTCGGCTCTGGGAACAGCGCCATGGCTGCCACGATTCGGACGGAATTGCCCCTTTTTTGGGGCTAAAGAAGTTTACGGCAGCGAAGAAGCGACGGCGCCGGAAGCTGGCGCGAGGATCTCGGATGGCGTAATTGACTGCGCGGGGCTCGTCGAATATCATTGGAGCCATAAAGTATGCGTGTATGCATTATCGAACACGACAGCTCGGCCTCATTGGGCCGACGACAGCGCGGCTGTTTTGCGGAAAGAGTTCCGGTTAATTTGGCCCGAGCGGGCGCCCTGGTGCGAGGCGGGTGGTGCAGCGAGGCGCGCTTCCATCCAAACTTAATGCGGCATCCAGTGTTCTCTGGGAGCCAGGGAGCCGTTATTAATATTGCAGGCTCGTTTTGTGTGCGGTTGGTCGGGCGAGTTGGCCCCAAGATGCGTATCGATCCCGGCCGGAGTAATGAAGGAGCGCTTATTTTTAGGCGCGGCACGGGGAGGAAGGGTTGCGGCTGTCAATTAGGCGGATCCGGCCCGCGCCGAGATGGATGGCTCCTGGGCGACCGTTTCTAATGGAATTGGATCATCCCGCCGATGGGGCCGCCCACGCGCGCCACGGGCTGCGCGCTCGGATCGCTTCTCTCCACAGAGATGGAGAGCCAGCCTCGAGACGGGACCCCACTCGCCGGGGACGAGAGGTAACCGCCGTAAAAGGCCACTCCTGGGTTCTTTTTGAGCACCGATTGCGTTTTAATCGCGCCATAACCGCGCCTGGTGGCTCCGGGCCGAACGTTCTGTTGCACGATGCATTGGCCGCCATCGTCGGTGGTTTGCTTCCCCAGTCCTTTCGAGCGCGACTTCAAACGCCGCCTCGATGGTTCCGCGGCAAAGCGCGCGCGTGCGGATGTCCAGATGGCTGGTTCAAATCCCGACCGAGGTCGCGCGTGAAAGAAACTCTCGAAGGGCTCGAAACCGATTTTTGGTCCTTTTCTCCGGCGTGCCAGATGATGACCCTCGTTGATTCGGCGCGCAAAGCTGGTTCGGGCGTTTACGTTTGAGTGTGGCCGGACTACATTACTGCGAGCCACCACGACGTGTTGCTCGAAGTTGGAACGAGGTGGCGGCGTGGTGCCGATGTTCGAATAGCACTTCTCGAAGCCTGTAGTCCTGAACCAGACTGAAGGTTTTCCAGTATTTACGAGATCAAATGTACGCTGTATCTAAGAAAAATAATCGATTATAACATTGCCAGCCTGTAATAAAGAACAACACCAATGGATAAAACAAATTTGAACAGTCTCGTGTTAATCCGCAAAACATGTCACAACGATAGCTGCATCACGTCACGGTGATGCCATTGGGCATCGGCGTCGCGTTCACGCACCGTTGGTGAACAAAAGCGTTAGGAACAAAATGGGCATCTTACCATCTTGTTCCAAGCATTTTTTTTTTCAGCGCATTAGAGTTAGTTTTTTAGCACTATCTTTTAGAATTGACAGTGCATTGGGCATTGCTCACTAGAAGGACCCAATATATGAGACGAATTGGTAACACTATGGCGTAGCTTTAGTTTCAACTCCTCCGTTTCGCACGCAGCGGACCGAGGTTCGATTCCCTCGGTCGGTGGGCGATCTCTTTCGAGGATTTGGCAGCATCCAGGCCGGACGCCCTACTACGCCAGCTAAGCATCAGCTCAAACCGACGTCATTTCCAGTGCTGGGAATAGCCCATAACAGCAATCGCCGTAATATACCCAGAAGGGGTGTGGGCCACTCAATAGATGGCGCCAGTGTTGAGTCTCGTCGTAAGTGCAGGCGGTCGCAACGCAGTCGGCCAGACTGAAACGTCTGAGCGAGCCTCAACCTTCCGACGTTTGGTTGGCGACATCGAGTCTCTTTTTCCGGTCGGGTATCGCCGAGAGGTTTCGCTCCGTTCAATAGCTTCCGCAATGTTATCTCCAGAGGCATTCGTTCTGCGTGGCGAGCTTCGAGATCTTGGCAGATGAGCTCGCCTACGCTATCATCTTCGCATTTCGGCCTGCACTTAGGCTGGCTCCCTCCCTTTCGGCCGGCATCCCGCGTGCCTGCAGAAAGAGCACGTGCAAATAAGACGGCTTCATTGTCAGTCTTCATGTATTTCTTCTTTTTGTGTTTGAGAGAGGGGGATGGAACGAGCGAGCCGGCGGCGCTCGCGTCGGCCCCGGACCTGGCAGAGCCCTGTGCGTGGAGCGCACCGACGCGAACTTGGCACTTAGAGGGGCGCAAACTCTGTGACCTGCTCCGACGGCGTCTCGGCGAGAGTCCGTGGGGGAGGCGGCCATTGTCGAGGCGC